TGAAAAACAACAAAACGCCCCTGAACTATGCCCTTGCAGTAAATGGATAGTGTGATGTTGGCTCTTGCAAATGTTCAATGTATGTTATAGGGTTAAAAGAAGTTCTCGCCACAGAGAATTGCCACCTACGAGAAGGGGGAAGCCAGTGCCAGAAAGTATGTTATGTCCATAGCACAGACCTGAGAAGAGTTAAGGCAGAAGGGAATGATCCCTCAAATTGCTACTCTGGATTCAAAATTCACAATGTTAAATCCTGGGGACTGGGTAATTATCAAACCAGCTTCTAACCCCACAATGGGAAAGTCCCTTTCAGGTGCTGCTCACCACTGAATCAGCTGTGTGAACTGCAGAGTAAGGATGGACTCATGCCCACAGAATTAAGGGCCCTGTGGAAGAACCAAAGGAATGGACCATAGCATCCAGACCGGGTGAGATGAGATTGACTTTTAAGCAGAGACTGAGAGGTAACCAGAAAAGGTCCCAGGACATCTGAGAAATAAGGTCAAGCTTCCACCAGCCTTCTCAAGGACTGTTTAGATGACGCTTCAAGCAAAAGACCTGGATTGTATTGGTCAGTAATGTAATTATCCTATTTAGGCTATTAAGGGGAAGTACTCGAGAAACAGGGGGAAGTGCTAAAAGTGATTAGCTTGGGAATTAACAAAAGGAGTGTGATGGGAAACAGAGAGCAAGACTGGCTTGGCCCCTGTACTTGCCACCGAGAAGATTATATAATTATATAATGACAGAAGAATGGCCATGGAAGGGCAGTAGCTTGGGCCTTGTTGAAATTCTTAAATGGAATTGAACAAACATAAAACGAGAGAGTTGACCAGAAGGGTGGATCTGAAGTTCAACACTAACAGGGGAACAGTGTCTCTGGTGCATCAGGAAGCACTTGCTTAACAAGGTAGGAAGCACCCTTTGCAAGAGGTAGTCAGTAATGGTGGATCCCCTCTTTGGGAATCAGTAGAGTATTGGGCCCAGAGAAAAAAACTGATGAAAAGGATTGTGAATATAATAATGAAAGCAGATTCTTTCTGTGTGATGATCCAGTAAGAGTCCCTATGCTGAAATCCATGAGATATCCAAATTTAGGGAAAATATGAACCAACAAAGTAACTACTACTAGAGAGCACCAGATGGCCTATTCTGGATATGTAGGAAGAGAACTCCCTCCCCAGGAATTATACAGCCTGGATTTTTCCTCTTCTCTGGGAAGGATGGGAATGACTTAGGGGTACTGGTTTATGAGGCTTTAAAAAGAGATAAAAGGGAACTAATTGGAGGATCTCAAAAATGGGGAAATGAGGAATGGCCTCCTGAATGAATATTGGAAACATATGGGCCAGCCACAGGGGCACAAGATGGAAAGTAGGGGACATCAAACTCCAATCTATATGCTAAATCAAATCATAAGACTCCTAGCAGTTGTAGAAATAATAACTAAAAAAACTGGTTTAGCATTGGAATTAATACCTAACCAACAAAGACAAACAATCCACTGTGTATCAGAACAGGTTGTCCTTGGAATGCCTATTAGCAGAGGAAGGGGGTGCCTATGGGAAGTTTAATACATCTGATTGTTGTTTGAAAATAGTTGACAACTGGAAGGCTGTCCTGGATCTCACCAAAGATATCAGGAAAATATCCCATGTCCAGTCCAAAAATGGAAATCAACACTAAAAGCCAGCTGGTGGGACAACTTACAGGGTATGGAGTGGTGGAAAAAGCTAGGCTTCCTCCTCATGCGTGCAGCAGCAGGATTATCATTTCTTCCTTGTACAATTCCATGTTTCATTCGACTAGTCCTGAGTGTAATTCAGAGTATGCCGACAGTGACAACGCCTAACGACCCAAAATCGGCTATACCCAGAACACACACAGAGTATAATGGTGCTGAAGAAGCAGAACAAACTAGAAGACTCCTTCAAAGAAGTCAAACTGATCTGTGAAAAGCATGAGTGGATCCCCAAAGGAATCGAAATTGTCACTCAAGCCAAATAACTTACAAAAATGGAAAAGGAGGGATTGGAATAAATGGATAGTGTGATGTTGGCTTTTGCAAATGTTCAATGTATGTTATAAGGTTAAAAGAAGTTAAAAGAAGTTAAAATCTGGTGGGGTTTTTTATATAAGTTTTGTAATGTTGAAAGTTGATCTCCAGCCATTGAGAAAGTCAAAGCAAGAAGGACTGCACAGACTCTGAGAGGCAGGATGAAGGAGGAGCTGGGAGGGAAGAGTGACATATGCACGAGTGTGGGGAGGGCTGGCTTGTCAGTGGGACATGTAAGGATTACTACAGGTGTGGGCAGTGTGCCTCTGGCTGCAGCTAAGCACCCAGCCCCTTCTCCTTATTCAGTCCCTTGTTGTGGTTCAATAAACCTTTTAAGATTTTAAGAAGTGAGGTGTCATTTCTCACATCATTTTTTTTTCTTTCAAACCCTGATGAGAACGTACCCTATCAGGTCTCAGTGGCAGTAGAGATAAATGTATAGCAACACCAGCAGTAATTTGCTATATTACAATTCCTGACTTGGTAAAACCACTTGTTTTAAGGGGCTGGAAACTGCACAGACGTTAGGACAAGTGAACATTACTTCTTTTAACAGCTTCTGCACTAGGAAAACCATTTCCAGAATTACAGAAAGTGCAGATATCTGAGCATTGAGATCAGTTTCAGATGGGTATCATCAAATCAGTTTCAGAAAATTCTGCTCTTCAAGTCAGCCCTGCAGAAGCCCGATCAGGTCAGGCAGCAGATACCAGCCCTCCCTGGACACTACATGGGATCTCCCAGACAAGCACAGAGAATCCAATCCAAAGGAAGGAAATTCCAGTCAGTTCAGTGCCACACCTGCAATGGAGACAAAATGTGCCTTCTCACCTGCCCACAGAGCTGGAGACCAGTGACACACATTTCCCTCTGGAAAGGCCACTCCATTTTGCATCAAGAGGGCAACAACTACAGCATCTAAATTCTGACTTTCAGCTCTACAGGTTTCCTGCTGCCTCCAACCTCCACGAACAGCTTGGGATATAAAACTCAGATCTCTTACTCATTTTGGGTGTTCCCTACAGAACCCCTCCCTCTAAATCCCTGCCTCAAATTACCCCTTGCGCGGTGGCAAATGCTGACCTTTCTGCTCAGTAAGAGTAGAATGACTCCAACACTGAGGAAATGATCATTTAAGAGGAGTCAGTTACTGGGAACTTGAGATACTGTCTTCATTGCTAAGCAGCAGATGGGTAAAGAGCAAATCCATTAGACGGTACCATCAGAGGTGGCAGAAATAAAGCACAAGTAATCCCTCATACTGTGTTTGTAGCAAGTTAGCTATGACAGATAAAGTGGAGTTGAATATGTGCTCTCCAAGTCCTAATATTAAGAACTATGCCTAGATAGTCAAGGCCTTGCAAAACATAAGCCTTAAAGCAAAATTATTGATATTTAAATATTGTGGTCATTCAGTAACTGTAAACTGGTTTTTGCCAATCCCATTCACTGTATAAACTCCCAATCACATCAACATCACACAAAACACACATCTATGCCAAACATGACATACTAAAAAGTTTTAAACAGCTTTTCATTACTAAGAGGTTTGAAAGGACACCACATGGTACAAACAAGCCTTGACAAAAACACTCAGACTACATCTGGGTATGATCCTAATTGCAAGCTGCAGCTTAGAAATTATTTTCAATTCTCCATCTTGAAAAAACATGCAAACCATACTCTGAAAGCACAGTAACGGGAGAAGGCTGAACACTAGTCAGGGAGAATTATATCCTCCATTTATGATAATTAAATGGGTACTCAGTACATCACTGCCAGTCATTTACAGATCTCATTAGCTGCTCCCCATTCTCTATCAGAAACACACAGGCAATGCTGTTCTGAGAAAAACTTACTTTCCAACTAGAGAATATTCAAATAATTTCTGGCTTAGAAACACACGACTCACCTGCAGTACTCTGCTGTTGGTTCTCCTAAGTACAGGAGTGGCTCATCCAGAAAAGCTTTTAGCTACAATACCCAAGTCCATCACCAAAACACATGTACTCCTGGAATATGGGAAATTACTCTGTTCTGTGTTCAGCTGAAGGAGAAACCTATGACCAATCCAACCAGCTCAGATTAGCAAACGTTATGAGCACAGAAGAAGGGAAGCAGATGGATACCCTGCTACAACAACTGTCCTCTCCAAGAAAGGTGCAGCTTGAAGCTTTTGAGGCCCATCAAATATCAACAGGTCTAGAGGAAATCCAGCCTGGTTGAGGAGATGCAGCTCCCTGGCCCAAGTCCAGCTGACCTGTGTAGCTCTGCTCCAGCAGGCCCAAACTGCCTCTGAACAGATATGCAGCCACCACTGCCCCACTGAGCACTCTCAGGCACTCCCAGTTAACCAGTAACCTCCTTTCCTGTTTTGAAAACTAATGGATTAGTTAGGAGAAAGCATCTGAGAAAATTTATAACTGCCAAGGTTAAATCTACTTGTGAGGACTAAATATTTTTATTAAAACAAAACAAATTAAAAAGAAAAAATGCAAATTTAAATCTCAAGACCTAAAGACAGAGTCCTTTCTAGTTCTATGTCAGAAAAATTCACGTGATGTTCAGCTGACTACAAATCAGTATTTGCTTTATGAATCATATATGGAAAAACATGGCAGACCTTTACTAAACATAAACTGTAAAAAAGAATAACGTGAATGCAGTTTTCCAGACTGCAGTCTCCCTTTCAGCCGTCAGACCAGACCTCACTATCTTCTGCAAAGGCTGAAGGGAAGGCTCCATAGCAATGGATTAACACACCCCACCTGAAGATCAAATTGTAGGCCTGGAAAGGCCCTCAAAAGGTTATACAGCCCATTCCATCACCCTGATGTTATTTCTGACAAACATTTAGTTGCTTGTTTTTGAAGTCCTATCAAGTCACCTCCATAACCCAAAGCAACATCCTGGACACTGCCAAACCATACCCACATGGCATTACCTCTTGCCTTCAGGAACTGCTGTGTGCCTTGGGTTCATCCATTCCACTTCCTGCCTCCCACCAAATCCCACAGCAAAAATCACCAGCCTTGCTCAATCCACTACTGCTTTTGGAACGTGGGGAAGGGTAGTGACCGTCCTCACTCAGAGAAGACATTTTTTGAATCTTTGAGGCATATTAAGCAAGAAGAGACAATGGCATCAAAAGATTTGACATGTGACTACACAGTCACTAATTATTAACTCAGTATTTGTGTGTTACTCAGGCTGCCCCTGCATTCCACTTTGCAATCAACTATAGATTTGATTTCATAGTCACTTGTTTTGTGTAGTATACCAGCATGTCCAAAATAATTCTGAAAATAGAATAATTTTGGCACTGTGCGTCAGCATTTGACAATAAAGCAGGGAAAGCAGGTGAATCATGCTGCTTTAATACCAAAATCTGAAATCTGTATGTTCAACAGCATTTCCCACTATACACAAAAAACTTCCTGCACCAGAGTCCTTAAAGGCCCAAAGGTCTTCATGTCTTTTGGATCTGTCCTTCCAGAAGACAAAACACTCTTCACCCACATCACCTAATGCCCCAGCACAGCAGTTCTCAAAGAATTATTTCAGGAATTAACAGAATCAGTTATGCAGGACAGAAGATACATTTTTGTAACCATCTTTAATCAAAGAGTACAGAATTTTAACTGATCTTGAATGAGTATTCCCAAATTCTTACCATGTAACGTAATGTTACAGGCAGACACAGCACTTCTTTTAGTGCTGACTTCTGACTGGCCACCTATGATGGAAGCAACCAAAATAGTCTGTAGTTGCACAAGCAGCATCAGCAAGCACTGACATCTTCATTAGAAACACACTGGAAATATTTTTCTGGGTACTTTCAAGCGTTAGAGATTATTTTAGTCTTTGATATCAAAACCAGAAAACAAGTATTTCAGCTGGAGTCAGAGCAAGCCACAATCCCCTAGAGATGTCTTTGCCCCAAGCTCCATATCTCCTGCCATTTACCTCAAAACAAAATAAACCTCTAAATTAAATAGCCATGGTATGTTCAAGTTGGGTGGAAAACCTGCCAGATGTTCATGCCCTGGCATAATCTATGTGACACGCTCACAAATTAAGGTCTGCTGTAATAATCCAAATGCATGTTGCCAATGCATATTAAGGATTTTACCACTTTTCTAGTTAAAGATTTCATGTATATGTTCAACATTACACCTATCAATGGTATTAGAACAAACTGAAACACCTTCTAGATTTTTACTGCAAGTTTACTCTGTATATTTTAATAATTTACAATCATTAACCAATATAGAAATCTCACCTGTTTCTTAAAATTGAAATATTTCCTTTACTAGTAACTGAAGCAGCATGCTTGAGGTCTTAAGAGCTGCTACAGTTTCCATATTTTTATACACTTTTGGTGGGTCTGGGTCTTTCTTTAATACTTATAAATGTGGTTTAAATCCTTTGAACACTATTCTCACCAACAGACTGGCTTTTTCCAAGGAATATCTGGATGGCTCAAGTCTCTCTACTCAGAAGTTTGGCCATGGCATTGTCATCGACAAGTATTTACACTACTTCAAGACAGACAACTTGAACAGCCAGAAGTCTTGTCCCATTCTTCCTTCTCCATAGGTATAGAGGATTAGCAGTTCTTAGCAACTTTTTTTTTAATAGAGGATTTTCATTTTCAGTTATTATTAGGCTAGTTTGGAAAATCTGCCTTAAAGATCCTTCATAACAGCTCAAGTGTACCTTGAATTAAGAGCAGGAATGCCCAAAGGCCCAAAACCAGCACTATCTGCAGAAGGAACCAAAGCTGTCAAAGGTTGTTTGGGTTAAAAAAAGATTATCACACAGTCACAGCTGTTTGACACACAGCAATACCCACATGCTTTCTTCACATCATGGCGAGACCAACACAGGACATGGCAAATCAAATACCAGGAGAATTTCACTGCAACAGTCAGTAGCACAATTTACAGGACTATCATAAACAAAGGGAGAAAATGGTCTGCCCAACAGATTTATCAAAAATTCATTTACTCTTCACATGTAGGGAAGTTAAGATGTGGTGAGTAACAGCACAGACTATGGGGGGGGGTGGGGGGACGTCCAGGGGGCCCAAAACAGGCTCCAAACAAACTGCCCTTTGCAGCAGCCTGACCAAATAGGAACAGCTCCCAAGGCCTCATTAAATCAAGGCACCATGAAACACCAAAGTCTGAAATAAAGATGCTTAATGCCCAAAAGGTCTGGTTTTCTGTTTTCCAAACAAAAAAGTGGTTTCCTTTAAGTAATTCAAGAAATGATCTCCACACTATTTTGGCATAATCAGTCTTAAAGGTACTGCACTCAGAATTAATTTCTCATTTTCTAACAGCTAGAGAGTAGCTCTCAGATAATTAAGCTGTATGATAAACAGGGCCCACAGACTCAAAACAGACAATGTTGCAGAGGAGAGGAGGGGCAGAAATAAAATAAAAATCAGCTTTATCCATACCACCATTTAGACAAAGCAGAAAACTATTCAATCAGGCTGAGCACTAGAGGATACTTTCAGCACCAAAAACAATGAAATGAAAAGATGAGAAATAGACTGCTGATGTATTCAGGACATTGTAAGTACTTTCAGAAATATTATCTTTCTTTTCCCTGAAGATGGAAGAGAATATTAATTCTAGCAGGACTCCTAAGTACCTCAAGGGTATCTCTGATTTGAGTCCCATCAGTGAAATTCAGTCTGTCACCCACAGATCTGTAACAATCCCAAGAGATTCAGAGACTCCTCAGCCTTCTCGTTCCTTATGATAATCCCTTGAGTGTAGAAGCCAGTGTGAATAATCCAAGAGACTGGAATACAGAGAGAAGAGAAAGCAGACCTAATGTAACTCAAAAAAGTTTATTCCATCTCAGCTCACAGGATTACACTGATCTAAACAAGTACCTGCTGATTTAACTCAGAGGAATTTAACTACTCAGCTTCAGAACACTGTTTAAGCCATTTCCCCCTCATTTGGTCATCTGGGAAGTCCCCAAGTTTACAATGAAAAATTCGTCTTAAATTCAAACGGGAAGAGCAGCAGTGGACAGACAAGTCCAGAAACATGGCCCAAAGGCAGGACTTGGAGCAGGGCTGCACAGGTGGCAGCTGGTGATGACTCCAGTACAGCTGTAATGCTTCCAGCAATACCTTGTCCAGTGCAACAACTCGAGTGCTCAGCAGACACACACAAACAAAGCCACCACCCCCCACCCTGTATGGAATCATAAGAAACGATGATCCAGAGTCCTCATGTCACTTCACAACAAACAATCTGTAATTCCTGTATTCTTACAGCAGTAAAATGGAGAAATAAGGTATCATATCCCTCCCTGAGCAGAGGAAAACCTACGTTTTCCCAAATACCCATGAAATCTATGACCTCCCTCATAATACATTAAAAAGTACAGAATCAAAGTAAGCATCTCTGCTAATGATTTTAAGGAAAAAATCTGTGGGTTTATTCCCCTCCTGTCTGACAGCAGCTGTTTTCCAGTAAGATGAGGACAATCCCCAAGTTCAAAGTAATGAAATCAACAACTAGTGTCCTCCCACATATATTCCTTACAAATTATAGCTGCATTCTTTAACTGCTCTTCTACCAGCCCGCTGCTATGAGTGAATCTCTGCTACTGCTGTGAAAATCTAACAGCAGTGATGAAGAACCCTTAAACCTCTACAATCCCCAGCAGCTCCTCATCCAACAAAATCAGATCCTATAGCAAATTATCCTCTCTTATCTCCAGCCACTATGCACTTGAACTGCAATTACTCCTCTTCTATACTCAGTTTTGCTGGCTGAGCAGGGCAGGGAAGATGCCAAGGCATTTATCCATCAAGTCACTGTCTTCTCCCATCAACCCAACCTTTCTCTCTCCAACAGGAAGCATTAAGACATCTGAAAATGCCCACAACAGCCCACGTGGCAAACTAAAAAAAAAGCAGGGCAGCTTCAGTTTCCAGATATGTCGATTTAAACAGAGCTTTAAGTTGCTTAACATGAAAGTTTGTGATACAATTCAGTGCTCAGATCAGCTTATTTAGAGGCCAAAATCATCTCACTGGACCAAGCTATGGTTACTTGTTATGACTTCTTAGGATAGAAAAAACAGATTTTACAAGTAGACAGAATATCATAGTACACTTTACACTGAATACTTAAATAAAACAGCTAATTCACCAAGAAAATGTACCTTCTTACCATGCACTGAAATGAAGAAACTGAGGAAAAAAACCCCTCCAACCCCCTAAACTCAGGGACAGGGGCAGCCTTCTCAAAATGCTTTGGTGCACTCCCTCATTACCACTTCAGACAAGCATCATCTGGTTTTACTGCCACAACAGAACTTTCTCTTTTCCAATAAAGATCAAACTGCATAGGAATATGCAGGTTAGAACAAGAACTAATTGTTACAGGAATCATCCTTGCCATCAAAAATAAATAAATAAATACAGCAGTAACTTTACTTACACTAACCTGCACTTCTAGGTCACTAGAACGCTGCTGTGCAAGTAACCTCCTAGCAGAGCACAGAAAGTACAGCAACATCATACACTGTGTTCTGCAGCAAGGGGAGACTCTCAGTTCTGACTGGAAAGAGGGGTACAGTTTGTTGACAGTGGTACCAGGTACATTCTATAAGGATGATATTCTATATAAAGCTACAGCCATATTTTAGGAAACAGGACACTATTCAATAGGGTTCTGGGTCAGTGAGCACTTGAATGGTAAAGAGCACTATCACCCCAAGTAGCATTCCTACCCTGCTCTTAACCATTAGTGCTTTTATCCTGTTGCACACAACTTCACCCTTTTCATCAGCACATCTGCAGTAACACAATGAATGGGATGAGGAAATCAACTCAGACCAAACTCCATGGGTAAAAAACAAAACTAAAACAGTTTTAACCTAGTGTGGTTCCCCAGTTCAGCTTACTTTAGACTTGGCCATAAACTTATGCCATCACATCAGGGCTGAGGGTGAGGGAGAGTAAGAAACTTCTGTCAAGAGCTGTTCAAGTTTAAAACCCACCCTTGGTCTGTATGGCCAAGCTTTTGCCAAGTGCTAAGCAAGTCACATTACCCGGTTACTGCAGCCCTCTTGTCTCTGGCACATATTCACCTTCCTGCCATCCCTCCAGCAGGAAAATACGCCCAGCACATGCCAACCTGCACAGGCACTTCCATCCCTGCTGTTACCCCCCCTAGGGAGCAGTATGCTCAAACCCCAGCACAGAAACGAGCACCCCACAGCTGAGGGGAAGTTCTGGACGTGCTACCTTTCCCCAGTTGGACTCTGACTGCTTCGTTCTCACCAGGCACACTCATTTGGATCACCCAAACATGATCACCTAACCAGCTTTCACAAAGTTATAATAGCAGCAACCAAGTTGACCACACTTGAACAAGCCTTGTTTCCTTAGGAATCTAGGTTTGAAAAATAAAAAATTATCATAGGTCTGATAGTGACTTTAGCACAAGTTGTCCCTGGGTGACAGGAGGATGCTCAATAATTCAGATGCCCATGACAGGAAAAAGGGAACAAGTAATTGCTGCCCAGACACCTGACGAGTATGGTGTGTGTCTTGGGGCTCTCAGCAAGATGTATTTCCTTCAGTAGAAAGCTCAGTGGGGAATTGCTTGACACTTTTTTGATTGTGATTCTTTTTACTTCATAGGTCACCACAAAAAGCTTGTTGATCCTAAGTAAATAACAGCCATCATCTATCTTTGCCTTTTAAAATCATTACTCTCACCCTCAAAGAAGGATACGAAGTGTTGCTCATATTAAATACTGGCAGAAATTCTAGTTATCAAATGGTGGAGACATCTTGTATAGAGAAAAAATAAGAAGGGAGACTTTATGCTCCCCCAAAGAAAACATCATGCTATGAGGTGTCTCCTGGAAGGCCAAAGTAGGGCCCACTACATCTCCCCTAGTTAAAATTCAAGAGTAAACACTGTATGAAAGCAGCATTGATCATTTCAGAAAACAAAAAGCTGGAGGAAAGACTTTCCAAGACTGACTTGGTCTTGTTCAGATACCAAGACAAATCAAGAAAGCTGTGGAACAACTGAAGCAAGGCCTCCAGAGCAGTCAGGGCTGGAGCACTGGCATTTGGAGAAGAGGCTGTGGGAGCCAGGGAGGGCTCCAGGGCATCCACAACTATCACATGCCTGCAGGGAGGGGATTGAGAAGATGGATCCAGGCTCTCCGTGTGGTGAGAGGACAAGAGACAATGGGCATAAGTTAAAACAGGAGAGGACTGGATGTACAGAAAATCTTTTCCACCACGAGGACATGCAAGCTGTCCCAAAAGGCTGAATGTCTCCAGCCCCTGAGGTTTTCAAGCCCTGGGCACTTGCTCTGACCCCACAGCTGTCCCTGCTGTGAGCAGGAGGCTGGACAGGAGCCTCCTGAGGCCTCTCTTCCTGCCAACTCCAGGAAGCCCACCGCAGGGTCTCAAGGGTCTCTATTAAGAGTTACATTTTCTAGCCTTTTCCTTCATATACTCTCAAGATAATTAAATAACTTAGTCGTGCTGAGGCTCAATCAAACAGTATTCGGGTTGGTGCCTTTCCAGCACAGACAAGCATCACTTCTACATCATCCTGACCAGGAATCAGTACCAGAACATGCTCACACACAGTCTGCAATTAGCTCTGCTCTACCCTCCTCCTTTAATAGTGAAGAAACCCTGCAAGAGGTGCGTCATGGGCCAGCAGACAGCAAAGGAGCAACCAGGAAGAGACAGCAGATGCAGAAGCTAATGGAGCTGATGAGTCTTCGAAAAGAGACCCACAATTTGAATTATTAAAGCAGTCAAACCTTTAATGAAGTTGGTTATAGCCCCATCATAAGGCTACAGGAAACTACCTACTGGTTCACCAGCACTGGAATTTCTAAGCAATGTTTCAAGCCCTGTAATTCAAACACTTTTTATTCTACATTTGTGCTTGTGCTAATAGCCACAGCTTACCAGGGCAACGCCACATTTTACTGGTATCTGAGCTGATATCTTTTTGAGATACAATTGAGACAGTCATATATCAAACTGCTAAGCTTCTGAATCCTAGTTAACTCCATTTTGAACATTAACATATAAAATTGGCATTGAAGATCACTTCTCTAAAGTGAACAAACATGGACTAAAGCTCAACACTGGCTTATAAAATGGATGTGCTTGGAAGTTTCTGTGCTATTGTGTCAGAAATCCTATCAGTGATGTTTTGCTTAAAAGTGACTTCTTTTATATCTAGCAGGATACATGAAATGTCTACTTTAAGACAAGAGCTCCATGAGATTAATTTGTTTTATGGGGAGTACTTGTAGATTACTCAAGCAGCACAAATAGCATGGATACAAATTTTCAGCCAGATGCAATGAACAGATTCACCTGAACAGGGAGACTTGAACAGTGTCCCTGTTTCCTAAAACATCTTTTAGGTTCTTATCTTCTAAAAGAACCTTCTGAAAGATCTACCCACCTTACCAGATGCACTGCAAATCTGTGAGAAGTGACTCAAACAATGACACCAGAGGATATGTAGGAAACTAGATGGGAGAGAATACACTCCAATACTCTTGACAGGTGACTTTGAAGAGGATAAGATTGGGAAAGTAGAAATCCCAAAAATCTACTGCAACATAGGAAGATGACTTAAAAACAGACTCTCCTGTAACTTTTCAAAGACTAAGTACATGAAGTCTGACCTTATTCACTCTTCCTGGAAGACTTCTGAAGGATGCTCGTGAGTTCCTCAGTTCTCACAGGTTGATTGAAGGGGCACAGTCCTTCAAGGACAGCATTTTAAAATAGCTGATTCACACACATACAGAAAGCAAGAATCTAGAAGTTGAAGAGTTAAGGTAGTCCAGCTAAAAGTCCCTTCTTCCCTGTTCATCTCTTCAGCAGCTCGATTCTTGCAGAGTCATTATTTCACCAGATATTCAACCATTACATGTTCACCTTCGAAATCTGTCTCACTTCTGTCTAAAATTCAAATACACAGAAAAATGATTTCTCACACAAACTTTTCTGTCCCTCCTTAGTGATAAGACAATGAAGACAGAGACTAATTGCCTCATGTCTTCATTTGGCACAACGTTTTGTTAAGCTGCCCTCTCACATTGTTACACTTTGGTCTATTCCTTCTTCACTGTAGTCAGACTGAGCTTGTCCTGCCACAGCAAAAAGGAGGATGCCTTCCTCCTTAAAACAGAGGACTAACAGAACTGGCTCCGAGAGTCTGAGGCTTAATTCCCAGTTCCCTTTATGAGCCCGGGCTGCCATAATCTGCAGCTGCATTTCTGCCCTATGCAAATCAAACAATTTAAATGTACACTCTGTGGATGTAACAAGCATTTCATAGCTTTTTCAAGGAAACCTTCCCTAAGCATACTTTCAACACAGAGAACAAACCCAAATGGTCTTTAAAGACAGAAGGAAGATGAAGGACTACAGAGTGCTTGAAAAGCCTGCAAAGGGGACTGGCCTGTTGTTTTAGGAAGGGATAAGATTCCTGGTGACACATTAGTGCACACATGCTTCAGTCCTGTTGCTTTGGCACAATATAAACAAAGCAGCCAGGAAAAAGCAAGAACAACCCAGGATGAGCTGAAGTGTGGGAGGAACAAAGAGAGGAGAAACAGGTGATTCCTGCCCACAGCTTGCAGGAAGAATTTCCAGCTTGGCACAGCAAAATGCTAAGGAAGAGCCTGGTGGTGCAGGAAGGTGACAGGGGCAGGGACATGTGTGACTTCAATGGTACAACCTCCCACAACCCAAAGCAGCCAAAGGACACATGCTGTCACAAGAAGGAACAGGGAGCCAGAGGTTACAATATTATTAAGACACATCTTACAATAAAAAACCAAGTCTTCTACTGGTAGAAGATCGTGAATAATAAAGCATTTAAGAACTTTGTCATAATGTAAGAGGAAAGAAAGAATGACGAAGTTTTATGACAGCACAGGTGTATTCACCTGGAAGAGAAAAAGGTCATAAACTCACTATTAGATAAAAAAGATTACATTTTTTTTCTTTTTTGAAGAAATAAACTTGAGGTAGGATCTGGATAACAAAAGGAAGGAGAAATAAAAGACAAGATGAGGAGGAAGGGAGGAATTTGGAGAACCAGCAATGAGAGACCACTGAAGTGTTTCAGAACTTTGTATAAAAAGTGCTTTCGAAATGTAAAATCCTTATTGAATTCACTCCTCCTAAATCCTTCCCAAGCCCTGAACTCCTCAGAAGGAATGTGCATGTCCTTTTGGCATACCTACTCCTTTTCCATGAGGTGTTCTGGAAACGTCAAGGGTGGCACAACACGATCAACCTGGACGTTTAGTACTTTACAGCTACTGAAAAGCCATTCATAGCTCACGACACTGCTTTCCAAAACCACTAGAGAACAAGCATTTGGGTATAAGTTCACCCAAAAGGTAAGTTCACCCCAAACCCTACCAAAGTTCTGCTCGTATCAACGTGATGTATCTCGTGCTCTGGAATTGAGGGACTAGGGGACGGTGCTGTTTCAAAGCACAGCCCTAGCAGCCTCACTCCTCTCCCAACCCCTCAGCCGACCGTCCCCAGCACCGACCGGCTGTGTCTGCCGTGACTGAGGACTTCCAGCTGATGGCGAGGGCTGAGACACGACTCCTGCTACTCCCGTTCTCCCAGAGCACCTCCCGGGGCTGCGAGCACTGGTTCCGCTCCACAGCCGGGGTCAAACTTCGCGGTCGCTCCACAGCGGCGGGTTATCCTGCCACCTCCTTGGGAAGCGATGGAGAATTCCGGCAGGGAAGCCGGTGGACTCTCCTACTCTCCCCGTGGCTCCAAGGCACCGGCGTGACCTTGCTGGGGAGCCCTGGGCCATGCGGCAGCCAAGCCCGCCCGCCCGAGAGACTCGGGAGCGCGGCGGCCGGTCCCGCACACGGCCCCGGGCACGGCCCGCTCACCGCCCAGCGCCCCTCACTGCCGCTGCGAGGCCTGAGGGCTCCAAGTCCTCCCGCTCCCCGCCGTCCCTGGGCCGCCCGGCCGCGGCCTCGCCTGTCCGCCACGCTCCGGCGGTACTCACCGGAGATACTGCGCGCACAGCAGGCTCATCCTCCGCCGCTCGCCGCCCGTCCCGCCGCGGCTCTCACAGCCCGGGCCGGCCTGCCGCCCCCGCGCCACCGCCGCCACCGCCTCCCGCCGCCGCCATCTTCCCGTGCAGGGCCCGCGGGGAGGAAGAGGCGGGGTGTCCCCGCTCTGCGCTCCGGTCGGGCAGGACCGTCCGCGCCCCGCCGCTCCGGTCCCTCGGCGGCCCGGGCAGCCCCGGCTTCGCCGCTCCGGCACCGGCACCGTCCGCTCGCCGCTCTCCCGTCCCGCTGAGGCTCCGCGGCCCTCCTGCCGCGCCGGCCGCGCTTCCGGGCCGGACCCCGCCCCCGTAGGCACTTCCGGCGGCGCCACCGGCAAACCCTTCCCCCGCCCACTGCCATGGCAACCGAGGGGACGGTGGGGCGTCGCCATGGCAACCGCGGCGCATCCGGGGCCTGCATTGGCGGCCCGACCCGCGCAGTGACAGCCGGCTTTGTCACATCTTCCCTCTCGGCTCTCGGAGCGGCGGCTTGCTGAGAGGCCCCTGGCACTGGCGGGAGCCCCAGTCCCAGAATTAAAGAAACACGAAACAGGGCAGGTTGGAAGGGACCACAGTGGGTCATCGGGTCCCACTTCCCTGCTCAAGCAGGTTCATCCCAGAGCACACGGCACAGGATTGTGTCCTGACAGGTCTGGAATATCCCCAGTCAGAGAGACTCCACACCCTCTCTGGTCTCTGTTCCAGTGCTCAGTCACTGCACAGGAAAGAAGTTCTTTGTCATATTCAGGTGGCACTTCCTGGGCATCCATTTCTGCCCATGGTCTCTTGTCCCACTGCTGGGTCCCAGGGAGCAGAGCCTGGTCCTTGCTCTGAGCCCTCCCTGCAGACAGGGACAGAGAGGGATGAGGGCCCCTCTCAGCTGGGTTTCCTCTCAAAGCAGAACAGCTGCAGGTGCCTTAGCCTTTCCTTTTGAGAGAGCTGCTCCATGCCCTTCCTCATCTCCTCAGCCTCTGCTGGACCTGCTGCAGGAGCTCCAGGTCTCTCCTGTCCTGAGGAGCCCAGACCTGGACACAACACTCCAGATGTGTCTCACTAGGACTGAGCAAAGGGGCAGGGTCACCTCCCTGACCACTGGGAATGTTCCTCCTGATGCACTTCAGGATTGTGTTGGCCTTCTTGGCTGCAAGGGCACACTGCTGGCTCAGGCCCCCAGTGCAAGCCTAGTAGTGGCCTTACATTTTAGTGACAAGAAAAATTTCAGCAGGAACAGCACACGTAGGCTTGGACTTCCCATACAGAATCGTAGAACTATCAATCTCAGAAGAGACCTTTAAGATCATCAAGTCCAGACATCAACAGTGTTGCTGAAGCACACATCAAATGAGCGGGGAAAAAAGGAAAGAAAGAAAACTTGTTTTTATTAAGGCCATTATCACTCACTGACTCTTATTCTTCATAATTTACAAGTTAACATTGCAAAGACAGTGGGAGAAAAACACATCAGTAAGGAATAAAGGCATTAATAGGAATCACATCCATTTTGCAATTATAAAATAAAAGCATGAAGGTTGGAAGAGACCTTTAGGATCATCAAGTCCAACTGTCAACTCAGTACTGCCATGGTAACCACTAACCACTAAACACTTCACCCAGTGCCACATCCAGACACCTCTTCAAAGCCTCCAGAGATGGTGTCTCGATCATCTCCTTGGGCAAGAGAGGAAGGTAAGAGGGAGTCACAAACCAGACCTCCTGTTCTCTGCCTGCTTGCCATACTGGGGATTCCCAGACTTTGCCAGCTTGGGTGTCCAGCCCCAAGGATCACTCCAAATGTCCCAAATGCACCTCATCTAAGAGTCCCTCCATTACCCAAAGCCCCTGATGCTACAAGCCCCACTGCCTGGGAGGCAGCAAGGTCAGGCACAGAATGGGTTCCACACCTGGGATGTGGCCTATGGCCCGAGTTGGCACATAGAATCTCAGTATGGTTTGGGTTGGAGATGATCATCATCTCTTTCTAACCCTCCTGCCACTAGACACGTTCCACTAGACCAGATTGCTCTGAGCCCTGTGCAACCTGGCCTGGAATACTTCCAGGGATGGGGCAGCCACAGTGATGCTCTTGGCAACCTGTGCCTTACCACCCTCACAGGGAGGAATTTCTGTTTAAGACCCCACCCAACCCTGCCCTCTGGCAGTGGGAAGCCATTCTCCCTTGTCTGTCACTCCATCCCTTTTAAATATTCTCTCTCCATCTTTGCCATAGGCTCCCCTCAGGTACTGCAAGGGCACAATTAGGTCACACTGAAGCTTCTTTTCTCCAGGCTGAACAACCCCAACTCTCCCAGCCTTTCCTCGTAACAAAGCTGCTCCATCCCTCTGATCATCTCGGTAGCCTTGTCTGGACTCGCTCCAACACCTCCATGTCCTTCCTGTGCTGGGGACTCTGGAGCTGGACATAATGCTCCAGGTAGGGTCACCTCAGCATGGAGCCAGGACAGGGGCACACCAGGCAGTAACCTTGCACCTGGGTACGACATTCTATCACACCTCAATATTTACAGCTCTTCCACTATTTGTACCATGTGGTCCCACCTCCCATGCCAACTTAGTGACTTGTTTTGTGCTCCAGCTTGTCTTTTTATGGCAGGAAAAATCCCACTGAGTTCAGTGTCCATTCGAGTGCGTGAGCCAGCCTGAAGAAATGAGGCAGAGGAAAATTTGGGATCAGATGAGCACAAGGTGGCTGGCTTATACAAGTTGTGTCATTTGAGTCTGTAAGTGATCCAAGGACAAAATGAAAGATCACGTTTTGAAAATAAATCTCTCACATTTTTTTCAGGTTGAAAAAAGGAACATGTTCAAGGAAATTATTTTCAGGGCCCCACATGCTCAAACGGGAACCTTGCAAGGCTGCAGAATGGTTTTCCTGGTTTCAGGACAACCAGGGCTGGGCAGTAAGCCATAGGCAAACCTCCCATAGAATCCTGTGCAGCTCCTCAGGCAGGTGCTGCAACAGGGACTGAGGCTCAGCTCCATCCCTCCAGCCTCTCAGCTGCAGAGCAGCAGCAAACTGGTTCAGCACTGGGCAAACTGGGGCTGCTCCTGCCTGCCTGTCCTGTCCTGTGCTAAACCAGGCTGAGTTTGTACTCTGAGATTGCATGTCCTGGATCAATGCACAAATGCAGCTCTTAGAAGCTGCATCTCTCATGGCACATTGTCCAGGAGTCTCCCCAGCCTCTTCACACTGTCTGTGTGATTGGGAGCCTTATCCTTCTACTCCTGATCCAGCATGCTCAGGGCATCTTGCACCTACATGATTGTGGCCTTCCAGTACCCGAACGGGCCAACAAGAAAGATGGAGAGAGGCTCAGGACAAGGACCTGGAGTGACAGAACAAGGGGAAATGGCTTCAAACTGCTAGAGCTCACCTCATTCCAACCTCCCTGACATGGGTAGGGGCACCTTCCACTGTCTCAGTTTGCTCCAAACCCCATCCAGTGTGGCCTGGAACACTTCCAGAGATGGGTCAGCCACAATCTCTCTGGGCAACCTATGCTGTGTCACAGCACCCTCATAGGAAAGAATTTCTTCCCGATATCCCATCTAACCCTGTCCTCTGTCAGTATGAATACAGGCATTCCTCCTTGTCCTGTTGCTCCAGGCCCCTGTCCAAGGTCCCTCTCCATCTTTCCCTTTAGCAACTAGGAGGTCACAATTAGGTCCCAAAAACCTTCTCTTCTCCAGGTCAACAATCCCAATTCCTGCATCCTTTCTTGATGAGCACAGTTCTCATCCAGGAGACCACAAAGTGCTCCCTGGAGGCATCACACTCGTGCTGCATCAGGCACTAACAAAGAGCAGCAGCATCAACTCAACGGCTGTCTTGTTTAGTCTTGTCTGAGTCCAACCACTTTCATTCAGAACCTCCCCAAAAGTCCAGAGAGGTTCTCATGGGGCAGAACCGACTTCTGAGTGGGCAGTAGGGAACAGGC